TCTCTCTCTCTCTCTCTCTCTCTCTCTCTCTCTCTCTCTCTCTCTCTCTCTCTCTCTCTCTCTCTCTCTCTCTCTCTCTCTCTCTCCCTCCTTCTCTCTCCTCCTTCTTCCTTCATCCCGTATGCACCTAACCCTTTACCCCTCTCTCCCTTCCCCTCCTTGGTGCATGACTAACTATCCCCGCCCCTCACTGGTTACATTGCCAGGGAACGAACGACAAAGAACTTGATCCTCACTTGGTGGAAAGCGAGGGCAAGGGGAGGGTTGCCGGTCCCTTGTGCCACAAAGAAGGAAAAAGCACCGGACTTTTGTGAGGATCTGGGAAAACGGAAAATAGTGAAGTTCTGTGACAAGGTCCATTTGACTCAACCATCCTCCCCGGCTGCGTGACTAAGGAAGAGGCATGGCTTGCTTGAAGGAAAGGGAGGAGAACCAAGAAGGTCATGGGAAGAAAAAAGAACTTAGGTTTATGGGAGGGGCGATATGTTGACCCCAATGGGGATTGTACTCGGCTTCTGTTTTCGTATGGTCTTGCGCAGGTGAGTAGCTTATGATGGTTTTGAGCAGGACTGGATCCGCGGAACGCGGGCAAGAATGGGAAAGCCGGCAAGGGACGGACATGGGCCTAGCGAAAACCGTGGATGCGGGTGGGACTTGATGATCGTGTGTTTGGGAAGAGGGACACGACTTGCGTGATGAATGAGTGCCTTGATGCTCTGTGTGCAATATAGGAGCCTGAAAGGAATAAGGGCGACAATGGATATGCAGATAGGATGATTGTCGAGCAAAAAAAATATAGGGGCTAGGGGCATGGACGGCGCGACCGCGCCCCGATGATGCCGTAGGGATTGCCATGCTTAGTGAAAAGGTGTGTGGCCCAATGGATGACGCTTGGCCTACACACGAAAGAAGACGAAATTTCAATGAACTCTCTAGACTGCCTGCGTATTGGAAGGAGCAATTGCCTGGTCACACTTAATTGAATCGAGAAACGCCACGAGTGACCAAAGAGCTACCATCTATCGCGAGAGCGGAGCTACATCCCCCAATGTAAAGCCCTCTCACAAATGGCCCATCCCCATCCATTTCAAAGCACTGGGTGGGGGTGCCCCTGGGACGAACGACTTGCGCCCCGAGCGTGAGCGTGGGCGGGCCGAGCCAAATGGGACCCGCAGTGGGGTTGACTAAGGCTCGGAAGTCCTTCAGGGTACGACCGCTACAAAAATGGTGAAGGTGCCGGGTATTGGGTTAAACTGACTCATACGATCTCGAGGGGAGCGCCCGACGCATGATCGTGTACATAACCGAAGATAAGGAATGAGGACTTGTGTATGCTCGGTTCCCTTGAGTGAATCAGATTTGCGGGTGGTTGGGCGCATGGCGAGGCCAAGCGGAGAGGTATAACATGCATGCTTGCACACTTGATCAGCCATCTCCCTTGGAGGTGACTCTAGTCTATCATCTCTCGGGCAGATGTTCGTCAGACCGGGGAAGCCTCGGGCAAGCCGCAGGTCGACCCTTCCTCTTCGTCTGAAAGAAGGGCTCCGCTTACCTGGCGGGGGTTTGGGAATCCGGGCTAGTCCGGGTTCCGATGAAAATCCCGCGGCGGAGTGATCCGACCGACTTGGGTACCTTCGCTTCTCTTCTTCGGAGCCCAGCGGGCTCCTTGCACCACACTTGAAATGCTTTAAGGAACCTCATATGAACATAACGGGTAATCGAGAAGGGACAATCCTACCCTGTGAATGGACAAACAAAACAAGATAAGGGAATGAAGGGACTTGCTAGACTCCAAAGAAAACTAGCTCACCTTTGAAGATGCTCACGAAAAGGAATTGGGCACTGTGAATGAAAATTAAGGGTGAGTGGCACACGCAGTCCTGAGAGAAAATTGTAAGTAATGGGTAGGAAGCACTGGGTGCACCTAGGGAAAGACACTTGTACTATGTGTGTCCCGCTTGGGGCTTGTGTTTGCATGATGGGGATATTGAGCGTCCTGCCTTTCGGAAGGAAAGGAGGGGTCTGCACTGGCCGGTGCGGGTTGCGAAACGTCGCTCCCTTTTGTAAGCTGTCGTGGGTTCGTGTGTGGAGGTCGGGCCACCGAGCTGTCGAACGGGAGTTTGTCACGTCAGTTGATTAGTAGCATTCTCGTTCGAGCAGTGAGGAACTTTGCTCAATGATCTGCCGGACGGGGTGTGAAATCTCCTAAGGCGGGGCTTAGCCTGTTGGCTGGCGGAAGGAGTCCCACTACATGCGGGCACAGACGGAGCCTCGGGGACGATTAGTAGCTTCTCGTAGCTTAGTTTGGGAAAGGCTGTTTCTTATCGGACTGATGGAAGTGAATGCCCGGACGACTGACTTTTGTCCCTGTATTTAGGCACACGAGGTAACCCTCGGTGTCGGTATGGATGAGCTAAAGCGGCAATATGGGATTGGGTATTATGGGCAAGAAGGTGAGGGCGACTGCCCACTGGAGTCTGGGTATCGTGCTCACGATGGTTGAGCTGTGCTTGAGGTACGAGATAAAACTCTGCAAATAGTAACAGTGGAGAGACCACTGTTGGGAAAAAGGCCGGTGAGGAGATGACCGACCTGTGTGCGACGTTTGCCTGACTATTATTTTTGTGCCCTCCTTTGTAAAGTTTGCTTGAGAATGTTGGGAAGGGAACTGAGCCTCTAAGTCTATTCTCACCCCTGCCTAAGTCCGCACGAGTGAGAGAAGATGTGAGCAAGCATTGATAAGAGTCGGAAGGAAATGGAACCAAGAGAAAGGAATGCCGACTGAGGGTGACTGATTGGAGGTACGACGGGGCAGCGACATCTGGGAAGTGGGTAGGGAAGGTTAGGGAGACCCGGATGAGGGGTCTGAAAACAATTCTCATCTAGAAAGAAAGACAGTCTGACCAAAGAGGGGCCGTGTGGTGCTCTCTTATGAAAACAGGATCAGAACCGGAAAAACGAAATGGCGCGGTGGTTCTCATCTCCTACCTATTCTAGTGGTCTGCAAATGCCAATAGATGTTAAGGAGGGGATATCAGTCGTCCTCCCAGATGAAGGAACGTGGACAGACCTGGAGCCAACCTACCAAACTGTGATGCTGGATGGAAAGGGCGCGTTCCTCTGGATAGATACAATCTGGACCAAGGTTAGCCTGACAAGACTGTTGCCGAGCTTGATGGACTTATTGGAAGCCCGAGGGTGGGTCTATCTATCCCAAGAGATGAAAAATGCAGTAATAATAGGATTGGTATTGGGCATGGCGCCTATACAGCTGTTTAGACAAGCGGAACGTGAAGTGATATGGGTGGCCTGTCAGCGGGCAGAAATGGAAATGGACAAAATGGAGGTGTGAGTGGAACTAGGGGACAGGGGGAACATGAGACGCCCCCTTAGGATAATGAGGTGCGTGTTACCCCCGTTTCTGGTGGATGCGGTTTTTGGGACCAGGGATAGACTGGAACACATATGTCGATCGATGACGCGCTTGAGGCTGTACCAGTGTGCTCGACAGGACTTCTTTAGGATGTCGGTGGAAATGGGGCCGTTCGGAGGGAACTGGGCGGAGGAATTAGCAGAGGTGTTGAACCTTCGCAACGCGGATGATGTCTTTGTACCTATTTCAGTGCATTGACAGATAATCTATCGAAGTGTGGCAGTAGAGGAGACCTTCCTACAAGGGCTGAAAAAACTGTTCTTTGATGGGGAGGAGGATTCGGCGATGATGAGGACGAAAACGAGATGGAGGATTGGGACTTCTGAGAAAAGGAGGGGGAGACTCACCCGGGGAATGGGTTGTCGACTATGTGCAGGTAGGGAACGATGGCCCGAGAGCGCGAGCTATGGGACTGCACACCCAAAGGATGGGAACCGAGACGGATCAGAGGGGGAGTATAAATGTCTATACCAGTAGATCATGAATGGAGAGGGACCACGTGTGACTGGGTAGGGTATGAAATTGTGCCCGACCTATCGTACCTATGGATAGAACGTGTTTGGAACCCGCTGAGGGAAGAGAAAGGATGAGAAGAGATTGCGGAAGGAAGGGTGGAATCGGTTGGGGCGGTCGTTCTGTCCGAACAAGGTTGGCACCTGTTTTGCAGAACGCTTGCAGCAGGACAGAACCCGATGTGGCTTTTAGAGGGTGTTGAGGCAAGGACTTGACGGGCGGGCGAGAGATTTGCAGATTGCCGTCATTTTTGCTAGAGAGGCTAGGCTGGGTAAAGTTTGTTAGGAGGGTTGTGGCCGACCTCGCCAACCTGGCGTTTGAGGACGCGTTGGTTCACCAAGAGATGGGGCCATTCGGCGGCGAACAGAGGTATGAGGTGCTGCGGATCCTGCGCGCTGTGTTTATCACCAGGCCAAGAGCTCCGGTTATTAGCAATGAAGTCCTATGGGGCGTTGTTCGGCGAGAAATAAGTCGGGGAATGACTTACGTAGATGACCTGTACCACCTGTATGAGCCAATGGAAGTAGAGACAGGCTGGTAGGAGAGGCAAGAAAAAGAGGAAGGAGTAGAGAGGAAAACAACTATTGAGGTTAAGAACTGGGGAGTTGCCCGGGTGAGGCCGAAGAATGGATGGAATAAGTAAAATTCGCTTGTTGTTTAAACTGTGCAGAGGACCGCTAATCAACAATGGCGATGAGACGCGCACGGATGTCGCGACGGCCCACGCACCCTTGGCCACCCACGGAAAGTGGAGGCGGATGGAAGGTATCGCTCCTGGCAAGCTACATGGTCCGAGGAATTGACACCGAATGGAGAGTTGTGACCTTGGGAAGGGACCGGGCGTTCATGATGGTAGAATGTTTGTGGGATAGTATGAGGATTACCAAGGGACCAGGGGACGATCTGCATACTGACCTCAGGGTGACTGGAACCGTATACCTACCAGAACTTGGATGGCACATGTTAGGAACGGAACTGGCGCTAGGGCATGGGTTGTTACCAATCTTTCAAAGGGCTACTAGGGTACTGAACCGAGTACGCCAGAAAGTGCGAGGGAGAACGAATGTGGGACTGAGAACCCGGGTGTAGGTAGGAGGTTGGCAAGAATTTAAGGCCCCAATGACAGAGCTGAGGTGCCGAGTCTCCCGCTTCATGGTGAACCTGGTATTTGGCAGCCTCAAGAGGGTCAGGGACCTGGTGGATTCGACCCTGGTCTGGATCCACCACTTCCGGCCACAAACAACAGGGATATTTTACGATGTGTCGATCAGGCATGAGCCGTTTTGGAGAAATCAGGCCTGGGAATTACTTGACCTCATTGAAATTTTGATACTCGGGTTGCCTCGCTTGGCGTTTGAGGAATACGAACCAATAAGCGTTAGGGAAATAGAGATGGGAGAAAACTACCTTGCCGGGGTGGCTGACTTGTCCGAAGAACCAGACGAGCAAGACAGACTTGGGGGACCGACGTGAAAAAGGGAAAGTATCGAGGAAAAAGTAAAAGGTGGAAAACCGGAATAAGAAGCTAGCCGTAAGCAAGAGAGCAGTGGTCGGAGTTCTGTCTCACCTTAGATCGTGGCAGGAGGGAACTGGGAAGACCACCCGCGCTCAAAAGCACTAGGGCATCCGGGTGTCAGGGAGTCAAAAGAGCTACCCCCGAGGGGAGAGCCCCTAGCCTCAGACACCGCCCTAAGGGACCGGGGCACGACAGTAACAAAACGACAAACTTCGGCAGCAAGCCTTCCGGCAGAAGACAGACAGAACGACGCCCTGTAGGAAATCGTTGGGTGAGTCGTCCCGACAAAATAAGACGGGAAAGCATGAAAATAAGTAAGAATAAGGGGACCTTAGGGCCCGGGAACTAGGGAAGCTATGAACAACCGACCGTTTCGCAAAAAAACAATTTTCATGTGCAGGGTAGGTAAAGGGATGGCGTCGGAAGAAGCGGCTGATGAACTGCGAAGCAAAGGAAGTCAGGGCACGGGTAGGGGTACGGAACGAAACGAAGCGTCAGTAAAGGATCGAGAGTCGGCGAAACCACAGGGAAGCAGGGAAGATGGGAAGGATCTTTCGACAGGTGAAAGCTCGGGGAAAGCCGGGAGTAGCAAAAGAGGACCTCAGGAAAATAGGAAGGGAAGAGACAATGGAAGATTGAGTCCTCGAAACTCAAAAGGGGCTACGCCCAAGAAAACGAAGATCTCGGACGTCCGCTGTAAGCTGGCAGAGATAGAAAAGCGGATCGCAGAATATAAAGCGAGGCTTATGGAGGAAATGATGGCTGGGAATGAAAGGGATTCCCTGGGAATAGGGTCACGAGAGGAACGAAGGGTCAGCCAGGGCGAAATCAGGCGCGGAGGGAAGGATAACAACCATAAGGGAACGCCTAGCAAGAAAGGGAAGGAAAAGGGGGATGCTCCGGCTGTGGAGGCAGAAAAGGCTACGCCCCCGCTTGCAATGGACAACGGGACTAGCCGCCTGCCCGCCACACCAAAAGTAGCAAAGGGTTGCGACGGACTTTGGAGTCTCAGAGAAAGGGTGCTAGGATGGTTTGACCCTGAGGGTACGCCAAAGGCTGGGGAAAAGCACGGGGACAGCAAGGAAGGAGAAGGGACCAGTCCGGTTGGTGAAGCAGGTAGCTCTAAGGGAGGTCTTAAGAAAATAGTAGCTACCCTCACTCGGGCTCTGAATAAGAATCAGGGATATCTTGCCGATGCCAAGAAGAAACTCACTTTTGCTGGGGCGAACATTATGGAGTTCCTGATAGACTATGAGAACCTGACAGCCTTGTTGAAATGAAGTGAGGAAGAGACGATGGACCATTTGGGGCAGCATGTGTCACTTAGTCTGGGTAGAGACATTATGATCATTGTCACAACTAGTGGATCTTGGAAGGAAACCAGGAACGAGATGATGAGGAAGTACCTAAAGGCGGAGAAGATGGCAACAGAAGGGGTTGGCGGCAGTCCAAAGGAAGAACTATGCAACTTACAACGACTTCCTAAGGGTCTTTACTTTAGTCGCGTTACGAATTCCCGGGGTAACAGACCGGATAATGAGTAAGTATTTTATCAGGCAGTTCTCCGAATTCGACAAAGATAAGATTCTATTAGCTTACCAGCACACTAGCAAGTTCGAGTACACTAGGGATGTGGACTTCAGCACGGTAACAGACCTCGCAGAAAAGACAGTGGTGACCGATACACTAGCCCTGCTTAAGGAAGGGGAGGTTGTAGACTTGACTGGGAAGACAGGGGATAAGGTCAAGAAGGGGATATAGAGCCTGCACGAACGAGTGCATGGGGTTAACAACAAAATGGAAAGAATGGAAAATGCGCTATAAGTAATGCAGGCGCAGCTGTCCCGACCTGCCCTCCCGCCCCAAGAGGCCGTAGTTCCGGCAACGGTGGCGAATCGGGGGTATGGCAGAAGGGATCCGTCCAATGAGCAATGCAGGTATTGCACAATGGTCGGACATTTCATGTGGACTTGTCCAAGACTCAACCATGATATCATGAGACAGAGATGCAGCAGGTCCCTTAAGGGTGAGATTCTCGGACCCCAAGGAGAGCACGTAAATCGGAATTCGCTAGGAGGAATGCGGCGTGTCGTCATTGTCCTGAATAACTTGGATATAGTCGCCGTAGAAGCAGAGCCGGTAGCCGATATTGTCTGGGACCAACCGAGGGGACGTGGACCACAGGCCAATTTTATCCTAGAGGGCAATGGGCAGGATAGGGTAAACATCACCACCCGACGGGCCGGTGCGAAAAAGAAGCTTATTCGAGACACGGTAATGGAAGAGATTGCTGGGACTGGCGCAGATCAGGAAGAAACTGAAACTGGGGAACAAAAGGTCTACAGGAAGGCAAGGGAAGCGGAGCCGATAGACAAGGTTACGACGACGAAACAGAAGTTCAGGTATTAAATCCCGATTTTGACCTTGCCAGAGATTGACGATACCTTGAACAAGTTGTTGGGTACCATGGTATCGGTATCCTTCCAGACCATGTTGCAAGCCAGCCCAAGGCTGCTTAAAGGACTCAGGCAGGTGCTAATGCGCAAGCGCATAGAGGTAGAGGAGACCCCGGAACCACCGGAGCAGGAGACGGAAGAGGCAGAGGCACCCCAAGGCGTCTCCAACCTCCAAAGGATTCCTGGGGATCTGGAGGACCTGGAAAAGGTCTTTGCAGACATCCGCCTAAGCCTACCGGACTGAGAATTGGGTGAAGTCATGAGGTCGCCACCCGGGACGAAGCTTAGCTTCCATGCCTTGCCCGTAGGAAAGCTGAAGGTCCAAATCGGAACCCACCACACAGATGCATTAGTGGACGGCGGTGCGGAAATTACCCTCATACGACGGGATTTTGCAACGATTATCGGTTGCACCGTAAACAAGGAAGTGATGGGGAGTATTCGGGGAGATGGCGGGGAGATTCCCTTTGCAGGGTACGTTACGAAATGCGCAGTCAGGGCGGGGATCAGGGAATCAATCTAGTCCTTTCAGCGGATGACTGTGATGGAAGAAATGGACCATGACATAATTCTCGGAAGACCGTGGTGCGTCAATGTAGAGATGATAGGTATGCATCTGCATGATGGCACATACATGGTAGATATAGAGGACCCCATGACCGGCCGCGGGGAACTCCTCCGACTCCTTGGGACCGGAGGGGATCCGCCGAAAGGCAAGTTGGCAACTTGGTCGCCGACGTTTGAGGAGAGTGCGCGAAAGGGGGCATTCGCACGAATGGAAGGTATGAGGGAAAGGGTAGAAATCATGATTGAGGAAGCCTTTAGCAAGAAGGAGTGGATCAAGATGGGTCTACCTATGAAGAAGAGGAGGCAAGAGGACGAGGCCCTGGAAGTTATGGTGGCAGAAAAAGAGTCGGAAGTCGAACTTGGGGCCAGCCTGCCCAAACCAAAGGTAGGCCGGAACGAAACGCCGGAGGTGGTGCTTGAAATCCCAGACTTGTTACAACTCGTTAAGGCCATCAGGTACCACAAGGTGGGGGTGGACCCCGCAGCGCTTGCTAAATTTGAGGACGGGGTCCGAAAGGGCTACTGTCTAAACGGGAAGCTAGTCAGCATCCAGCCCCGTGTCTTGGAGATAGCAAGGCTGATTCCAACCGTTCATTTTTTAGGAGAACGATCTCCGAAAGCAGTGTGCGAAGGTACAAACCCGTAGGCAAGAAGGTCAAGCCGGTCTCGATCCTAATAGAAACATCAAGGGAAGAGGCTATGGGGAAGGAAGAAAAAGTTTTGCGGATAATAAGGGAAAGGCGAGCAACGGAAGGGCATCGGATACCGGATGAGGTAGCAGAAACCAGAAAATAGGGGTAGATGGGTTCCTAACAGAGAACGAGACTCAGTTGATAAGAAGGGCGTGCCAGGAGTTTCATTTAGCCTTCGCTTTCAATGACCACCAGAAAGGTCAGTTGGATGCGAAACTAATTTCCCCCGTTAGGATTTATACGGTTGAGCATGAGTGCTGGAACGACAAAGGGTCTGCCTATGAGTTTGGAATAGCGGCGGAAGTCACTAAATTGCTTAGGGCTAAGATAGATTCGTTCGTAGCCGAACCCACCGCGTCCCCCTATGCGAATAAGTGGTTCGTTTTCCGGAAGTCAAACAAGACACTCAAATGGATTCAGGACTTGCAGAAGCTGAACGCAGTAACAATCCGGGATGCGGGGTCGCTCCCACAGACCGATTTACTGGCAGAATCCCATGGGGGCGAAACATTTACTCCTTAATAGATTTGTACTCAGGATACGGCCAACTGTCACTCGATGCGAGGGATAGACCGTATACCGCCATGCACACACCGGTAGGACAGTTGCAGATGCAAGTGACCCCCATGGGTTTCACAAACGCGGTGGCGGAAGCCCAAAGGAGGATTCTTGTCGTAGCAGGGGAGATGCTCCCGGAGAAATGCAAACCATATATAAACGATAACCCCCTAAAGGGCACGCACAACAAAGATGAGACGGAGGTCGAGCCGGGCGTACGAAAGTTTATCTAGGATCACCTGCAGGATATCAAGGATCTACTCCAACGGTTTTTTGTTTATAACGTCATCGTAAGTGGACCAAAGAGCATTCTGGCCGTCCCGGAAGTAACCATACTGGGTTTCGTTGTGGGGCCTATAGAAGGAAACCCGACCCGACAAAAATAGATAAGATCTTTCAATGGCCGACGCCCCTGCGCACCACGACGGAAGTGCGAGCCTTCGTAGGGGTTGTCGGGTTCTGGAGGATCTTTATCAAGGGATTCGCAAAAATAGTTGAGCCTATCCGCGCGATGATTAGGGAAGGAGGCACTTTAGAATGAACCGAGGATAGGGAAGCGGCAACCCAGACCCTCAAAGACATCCTGTCTTCCAATCAGGTTATCTTAGCAGCGCCCTGCTTCAATGACGAAGTTGGACGACCCTTCATCTTAGAAACAGATGGGGGACCATTGGCAGTAGGAGGGGTATTGATACAGAAAAACGAGGAGGGCAAGGAAAGACCGATCAGATTTGAGAGTAGGACCTTGAATTCGGCAGAGCGGCGGTACTCACAGTTCAAGAAAGAGGTCTTAGTTATCCTGCATTGTCTTAAGACCTTCCAGGCATACCTATTCGGGAGGCGATTTATCCTGAGGATCGATCCGACCAACGTTGCTGGGGCACTAAAGAACTACAAACCTATAGACCCAACCATCGGGAGGTGGATAGGCTTCATATGGCAATTCGACTACAAGGTCGAGCGAATTGCGGGGCTTCGGAATAGGGCGGATGGGTTGAGTAGGGTGTGTATCACGCTGGAAGGAATAGAGGACGCCGAGTCAATCGACGCCTTCCTAGAATAAGGAGGGGGGACCCTGGTCGTGGATAACGAAATGGCAGGCGCCGCCCCTAAAATGGACCAACTGTTGATTCAGACTCTAGAAAAGGGTAAGCTCGCCGTAGTTGCTTAACTCAGGGAGGGACCGGTCACCACGTTTAGACGCAGGGAGGAAAAGGATTCATGGGGAGCAATGATGGGGTCGAAAGAAGAACTGATGGCAATGGCCGTTGAAGGGGGACGAGACGCTGTGATGACCCTAGCAGAGACCTGGGCGCAGAGGGAGAGGCAGTACCAAGTGAATCAGGCTCAGATGGAACAGGGTACCGACCAGAAGGAACGATAATTTTTCCTTATACCGATGTATGAGAGCGTCTTCAGAGAAATCGGTCTGCTGCTCATAGGAAACAAGCAACCCTTTGAAGTCAGCCCCAAGGCAAGGGAGGAAGCCGAAAAGTACGTCTTGAGGCAAGGCCACCTCTTCAAGAAAGAAGAGGGAATGTTGCCTAGACGCGTCATATGCGGAAGGTCTAGGCAATTAGATATAATCCAGGCAATGCACGATGGGCTAGCCGGAGGGCACAGGTTGTCAAAAGGGACCCTTGCAAAAATTGTACCACTTTACTTCTGGCCAGGCATGGCAGTTATGGTGGCGACGCATTGCCAAACATGCTTGATATGCCAGGAGAGGAGTTTCGCACGTGTCTTCGAGCCCCTTAGACCTACCCGGGTACTAGGACCGGGGCACTTGGTTCACCTCGACCTTGCGGTCATGCCTGTGTCGACGGATGGGTACAAGTATATCTTGAATGCAAGGGACAATCTCAATGGTTACGTGGAGACAGTAACTCTTAAGAGAAAGACGGGGAAGGGAGTGGCCGATTGGATAGAGGACTTCTACCTAAGGCACCCCTTTGTACGCAGGTTCATAGTGGATAATGGGATGGAATTTGTAAATCACGAAGTGCTAAGCAGGATCAAGATGATGTGCGTACCTATCAAGATCATTGAACCATACCACCCTGAGGCCAATGCACCAGTAGAAAGGGGGCACCGGACCTTGGAAAACACAATCGCTAAGTTGGCGGCGGATGACCTGGGGAACTAGCCTCGATACCTTAAGCAGGCGGTCTTTTCTGAGAACATGACGCCGAAAAAAACGATGGGATGCATTCTGGTAGAACTCTGGTATGAGAGGGAGATCGATTTTTCGGTGGAAGCCCTGGTTCCAACCTGTAATAGGCTAGAGGAAAACCCGCACATGTCTACGGAAGAACTAATTGTCGCACGTTGCCAACAGGTCGTGAGAAATGAGGAAGCCTCGGAGGATGTGGTGAGGCAAGTGATGGATAGTCGAATGAAGGACAAAGCAAGGTGGGATCAGGTAAAGAACATCCGGAAGGAGCCGCTAGTTAGGAACTCGACACTTGAAAGCACATGGTCTGGACAGCTGGGGAAAAGGTTCAAAGGCACCTACAGAGTCGCAAGGCGGGTGGGTCTGAACACGTTTGAACTTGAGGATCTTGATGGCACTGGGATAAAAGGGTCATTTCCGGGACAGAGACTGGTCAGGTTTTTAAGCAGGGACCCGGTGGAGCAATGGTTACAGGAGGCTCAGGATACGGAAAAAGGGGAACTGAGAACTTGAAAGGCAGGCAGTTAGCTATGATTCTATACCACCTCTCTGTGGAAGTTATCATGATTGCAAGGGTCGTTCGTTTTGTGTCTCCTTTCATGTGGAACATGGGGTGACTGCCTGGGCTGGGTGTGAATGAGGTTGGAAGTATGGGACAATGTACCATACTTTTTTGTGGGGCAATTTTGGGGGATGTACCAAGGTTCTGGGGAGGGGATAATGGGACTACCGATTATATGGGGGCAACCAAATGTTCTGGGGACGCCTGCAAATGGGAGTGGGAAGGGAATGCATGTATATGAGGGATGTGGTGACTGTTATGAATGGACAGGATCAGGCAAGAAGAAAGCAACAAGAAAAGACAAAATGAAGTTTGAAAACGAAAATGACAGCAACGCCATCAACAGGCCTAATGAGCAGCAGCCAACAAGACAGGCTGGAGAATCAAGCTCCAGAAAAAAGAAATTGTACGTGGGATTTGACCACGATCTGGTCATAAATAGAGGGAGGAAAAAGCAAGGGACCCAGGGGCCGTCACCTCCTA